ATCTATCTATCTATCTATCTATCTATCTATCTATCTATCTATCTATCTATCATCTATCTATCTATCATCTATCTATCTAATCTATCCATCATCTATATCTATCTATATCTACCTATATCTATCATCTATCTATCTATCATCTATCATCTCTCTGTCATCTATACGGGCCTTCAACAAATGGGCCTTGCAGTCCAACTGGACCAGTGGAATATGTATTACCCTGCCACATTGCCAGGGTCTGACTGTTAATTCTTCATCCAGCCTGGATTCCTCATGGTGACCATGAGGAATGGTGACCATGCTGGTTCTGATCATCCATCGTCTGACTCCTGGCTAAACCTGCTTAGGCATAAACCCTGGGTTTGCCAAAAGTACATAAAAACTACTTGACTGTGGCAAAGTTAGAGAGATTCAGCTATGCCTTTGAGAACGATCAGTCTGATACAAGCATCACTGATGCAGAAAAACATAAAGGACACGCAGATGACAGAACAAATTTTGAACGAAATTACCCTGTCAACCTATAGCATACATAAGATGTATCAGCCTGACTCTTTAAAAGAAACATTTTTCCCAGCCTGTAAAACCATATGGAACATCTGTAGAGCTCTGCTTGCACTTGAGTTATAAAATCATATAGATGACTTTGAACCCTGACAACTTCGCATATAAACTATTGAGAGTAAGATAATGGATGGCATCCCGTTAATCTCAAAAATTATTTTCTATTTTAAAACAATAGAGCTTGCAATTGAAAATTTAGTATTCAATTTTATATTATTGATCATTTGATTCACTATAACATTGTGGTCAAAGCTTTAATATCAATTTTATCTGCCCTTTCTAGATCTTTATTATACAATGCAAACAGTTGATGCAGTAATACATAGTGTCTACCTATGTCATAAATCTTGTGAATTGTGGATATTTTCTGGGCCAGTATAATCAATTCTTTGTCTTGAATTTTATGAAGGACACTAGAATATCACTAGAACAGTTGTAATGTACACAACAATTATATTTTATGTATAGTAGTTATAGTACAGCACAGAAAGGAAAGGTCTTTACATAAATAATAATTGCACAAAGTTAGTTGATATATAAAAGTGAGTAACATATTTGCTGGAATCTTGGTATTTGTGAAGTTGTGAATCTATATAACTTTTGTATAGCTTTTTGGCATCTACCTATTGCTTCACTGATCTCAGTAGCATTTTTTAAAAAGATTTCTCCCTCAAGTTAAATACATACATATTCTTTTCTACTTTAACCTAATCATCAGAATAAACATTGCTTTATTATAAAAGTGTGGGCTACTGATGAAGAGAGGTAGTCCCAGGGACTATTAAAGAAAAAATATCTCGCAAGTCTTATGAAATAAAATTTTTCTATATTTGTTTGTTTTTTCCTGCATAAAATAAGATTAAAATTTAAGTTAAATTTAAACATCTGGGCCACAGTCTAACTTTACAGGTGTTTTTGTATTGTCTCTTTTTATACATAACCCACTGTAGTCAGTCTTAGATTTCTTTTTTTGAGATTAAGTTCCATTACTTTATCTTTTATTTTTCAATTATAGTTTACTTTCAATATCATTTTGTATTGGTTTCAGGTGTACAGCTTAGTGGTTAGGCAATCATGTCCTTTACATAGTCTTAGATTTCTTTTTTTTTAAATGCATCTTTATTGATTTCAGAGAGAGGAAAGGAGAGGGAGAGAGAGACAGAAACATCAATGATGAGAGAGTCATTGATCGAGCCCCCAACCCGGGCATGTGCCCTGACCGGGAATCGAACCCCCATCGCCTGGATCCCAGGTCGACGCTCAACTGCTGAGCCACGCCCGGCTGTTAGATTTCTTTACAGCCTACACACAGAGCTCTTCATGCAACAATGTTCAGTGTCTTCCAGCTTTTTAAGTTGTAATCATAAAACAACATAATTTACCATGAAATTTGTGAAAAGACTAAATGCTTGTTCTTAGGAAAGTTATGAAAAATAATATATGGTATTGATAGTACAGCAATTCAGAAATGAATACAAATTTCAGATATGCTTAGTAATTTGTAAGTTTTATTTTGTCTTTGTGACAAAGTATAGATTTTGGTTGTGTGCATGTGTATATGTAGGTATACACACACACACACATACATGGAATAGAGTATAACAACATTCTTAGGAAAAATATAGGTGTCTACTTTTAAAGTTTTATAAAATGTCCAATGTTTGTGTCCCAATATCTTATAGTTAGCTTTTTTGCAAGTGAACAACCATGCAATGCAATGTCTGCCAATTAGGAAGTTTTCTATATGTATGTGGAATGTACTGTTGCAACCTGAAAGTATTGATATAAATTTCTTTTTCCTGTACTTTAGAGATTGTTGCTAAAACTCAAATATACCAATTTTATCATAATTCTTAGTTTTGTTATTTAGAAGAATACAGTTTAAATACATGCAAATTATATGTGTGTTTATATTAGGGGCAAATAATGTTTCACAAACATGCTGTGAGCCATGATATAAATAAAACAGATTGACCCTTGAGGATTTTTAAGATCTTCAATTTTATATATTTATCTTTTTCTCCCTTATATATTTCTTGTCATTTTACTGACACTTGAGTTCACAATTTAGTTGATCCAACTGAAAGCGGGAAATATGTAATAAAAGTCAAGCGCCTAAAGTTAATCTCTGTCTTATTTATAGACGTATTTGGTCCCTTTTGTTTTACCTCAGCCTAATGCAACAGCAGTTTATGGAATGCTTTTTATTTCCAGGCTTTTACAAGATCTCAGGTATGAAAACATATGCATAGTTTAAATTTACAATGAAATCCAGAGTCCAGACATTGTTGTTTCTTAACTAATTATTCCAATTAATCTAAAAGAGTCACTTAAAAGAGAATGGCTGTTAATCCATATAACAACTCTCTGTGTTTTCTTCATAGTAAGTGCATCATTAAATATTTGTGGCATATTCTTAAAATTATGTTAGGGGCTTGGAGTTTTTTGTTAAAAAGCTTACATGAGTTGTGTTCATTCGCTACTACCTAAAAAATTAAGGCACAGTTGGCTACTGTAGATTGTTTATTTTCTGACCAAGTTTGTGGAGTCCTTTGCAGTATAGCATTAGGTCTCCAGATAGTTGGCACTTAAAAATGTTTCTCTGATCAAGTACGGCATATAATTTTAAAATTTAGAATCTTCAACATGTTATTTTGATTTTCCATATTGGAGAGAGCAGTTGGTATAAAATTATGACCTTCTTTCAATCTTCCATTTGGATTTTTTTATTATTACTGAATTCTGTTTATTATGAATGGGAAACATGAAATGATAAAATAATCAAGTTCCACAGGACAGATTTAGAGGAGATGCCCTGTCCTCTCGTCTCCCAAAGCACATGTTCATTATATTTTTACTTATATAACCCCAGACATATTCCCTGAAAAATTCTCAGTTCTCTGTTCACTCTCATACTTGTGGAGCTCACACAGTATCTCTTTTTAGATTTTTAAAATAAAAAATAGTGAAATAAGTTAGACAGAAAAAGTCAAGAACCATGTGATTTCACTCATATGTGGCATATGAAACTGAAAGCAACAAATGAACAAACAGGAAAAACAAAAGCAAAAACTCATAGACACAGACCAGAGTATGGTGGTTACCAGAGGGAAGGGGCGGGAGCAGTTGGGGTCAAATATGCGGTGATGGAAGAAGATTTGACTTTGGGTGTCAGGCACACAATGCAGTATACAGATGATGTATCACAGAAATGTACACTAGAAACATGTTATTTTATTAACCAATGTTACCCCAATACATTTAATAGGAAAAAAAGATAAAATAAATAAAATAAAAAGTATTTTTCCATGCTGTATATTGTTAGCTACCCCTATTGCTAATGGCGCAATGATAGGTCAGAATAACATGGTCCTATTTTAGGGAAAGAAACAATTTATAGTCATTGAGCTTATTGTAAAACCACCTAGCATGTCTCTGGCCACTCATCTGAGATTAAATTGATATTACTCCATGTACAAGTATAGGCCTCAATTTTTATCCTATAAAAAGTCAAATTCTAGAAAATGCTTCTCTTTAGTAGCTGAGACTCATGTCTGATGTCTACCTATTAGTGGATAATTTTACACATCAATTTGGAAATTTCATTTCAGAAAACCGAGCATTAAGTGTATCCCACAGTGTTCATTTTATTGATCAGGATTTTAGGAGGATCCAATTAGTTTTGCTTTTCAGTTAACTCTGCTTTAGGTGTGCTTTTTAAACTTTCTGTAAAAATATGATAATAGTACCTTTTAGAATAGTTTGAAAACTAAATAAGAATGTTGAAATATAAATGCATGAAACCACTGCAATGTTTATTAATCTAATATAGAAACAAGTAGAAAGGAGTTATTTTTAGACTTTAATCAATATATGGTGTGGCTCAGATTTATAGATTTTATCTACTTTTTATTCCTAATGCAAAATGCAAATCTGACTTTCTTCAAGACAAATTGTCTTGTTGGCGATGTCCTTTATGAATGGAAATGAAAACTTTTAGAGGCCAAGTCTGCTTAGTGGCATTGAGAAAGCGAGTTCATCTTCTTGACTTATTGCTTACTTTTATAACTAGGGAATTTTTTAAGTTTCCCCAAAGAGAACAATAAAGATCACAAAGAAGGTGCATAGTACGTGTTGTTTGTTTGTTGTAACCATTTTTATTCCTAAAGCTTTTCCTTTGTTTTGCAGTTACCGGTGGCAGATTCCATTAACTATTGTGGTAGGAAACAGAAGCCATGTGTCTTCAGAAGCAATTATTTGGGTGTCAAACAAATCAGGTAAAATATATATTGCTTTCCAAGGATCTATTTGGTTTTCGATAATTGTTTAGCAACTTAACCTCTGGCTCTAGCTGTTATGAAAATGTGAATAAAGACAGATTAGAGTAGAATATAGGGAAATGATAATCACTCTACAAAATTCAGTAAAATATAGTGTAATTTCTACACGGTCTAATTTTAGTCCAGCCTATGTAATTATTAAATTTACTTGTGTCTTTGATGGTACATAGGAAATTTAAAAGTATTTGTAGTACTAATTTTAGCCATTTCAAATTATATTACTTTATAATCCTAAATGCAATTAAATTATAATCAGAACTCCCAATAGAACAGTATACCTAACACAAAAATACAGGCCACATTTTAAATTCCATTTTCCTGCTATCTTCTCTTTACCAGACTGGCTCTTTAAAGAATGGGTGAAGCGATATTCTACAAAAAATTCAATAATTATAGGGACAGAAGGGAGGGATCTTGATCAGTCATTAAACTATTCCTTAAGTAGGGTCAACTCTCAAGGAGCAGAGACAGATGAGATTCTGTTGTTTCTAAATATCTTCAAATAAGGTATTTCAATAACCTATTTCAATTCACTATCAGAAAGCTATTTCTTGAATTCCATCTAAATCCTTTATGCTAGAGTGAGAAACAACTCTATTTTATTTGTTTCCCATTAATTGAAGAAAAACCCCATTATCTTCCTTTATGTGACATTTAATTTCCATTTAGATGCTCAGGTATGTCAACATTTTGCTTTTCTTACTCCTTTCAAATGTTCTGCCAATTCACATTATTTTGTTTTTTCATAGGCATCATTTTAAACAGCCACGTATATGTATATTTTAAATAAGGTGAGGTATAAAGAAATAAATAACAACATGAATATTGTTTCTTCACCTCAGTCTTATAAGGGAGATGTAAGTGCTCAAAAGACATACACACATACGTACAAGAAAATGTTCTTACAGCAGAACCTAATCTGTTTACTAGAAATATAAACACTTGTATTTCTAGGTGAATTTCTATTCAAATTTTCATGTTATTGTATTTTTAACACATAATCACATATTATGAAAATATGTGCTTTCATTTATATATATTGTGTATAAAACATTCATATATGATGCGTTGAAATGCTTACTTTAAAACTTATTGGTGTTTCGCCTTTTGAATTGCTTATTATAATCTATTCTTTTCATTTCTTGGAGTTGGTATTTACATGAATCTGAATTCACATTTACTGTATTATTTGTCTATATACTTCTCTTTTACCTCCATGTAGTTGTTTTATTTATCTATATAATTTGTTATGAAATGATGAGTGAAAGCAGTGGGTTGTTATTGTAATGATCCAACTGTTAGAATAAAGTTGCCTGTTTATATGATTGCTAGGAACATGAAAAAGAATAGTTTTTAGAAATAAAGTAGAACATTTCTTGTTGGAAGGTAGAATGGAAGTGGGAAAATTAGAAATGCTCAGAGATATTGATCCAACATTAGAATCAGCCCCACACTTCACTGGTAGACAGTGCAGGGATTCAGAGCACGTCAGATTCTTCTTTGGATACTTTTTCCAGGTCTACCTCTAACTCCCTAGTTATTTCCACGCCGTTATTCATGGAATCTTCTTAGTCCACACAAAGTATCCAGAAGAGTGTCACAACTTTTCTTGACCAATAGCCACAGGTTTTTGTATTTGAGAGGTTACTTTCATTTATAGTCTTTCAGTATTAATCTGGAATAATGACGTGATATTTGAAACCATGTGTTTGTCTAAAATATCCTCTATGTTAACACACATGGCTGTCAGGCGCAGCCACCCAGCCTGAGCTGCGCATAGCTGTGAGACATTGCCATAGACTGTGATTAACGGCAAGCTCGCTCGCCCCCAAGTTGTGCAGTGTCCAGCCTGCAGAATAGAATGTGCTATTTTCCATTAAATCATACCAGAGTCTTCTGGTTGATAAAACATTGTCTCAGTTAAAATGTTGAGGAATTTGTGGGGAAATGTCCATACTGAGTAAATGTTTCTTGGAAACTTTATAAATACATAAATCTTGACTTTTCTAAGAAGGACCTAAAAGAAAAGCATCCTTCCTGTTTCGCCTGTTCAGTCTCATTCTAACTATATTTACTTTTGTCTTGAAGTTCTTCATTTTGATGATGAAAAAAAAACACCCGACATCAGGAAAAGATTAAGAAAAAAGGATTGTTAGTTCTTGTCTTCTTTTATACAGGGTAGGACAAAAGTGAGTTTACAGATGTGAGTACATGAAACACAAAGTTTATTATTGTATTATTATTATTTAATTATTGTATTATTTTCCATATGAACAACTGTAGAACTACTTTTGCCCCGTCCTGTATGTTGTTACTTCTCCTTTCCACCCCCCACATATAATCAACTAATGTCAATGAACCATTTTTATGCATAAAAATATTAAGAAAATATTCTGGTCAGTTCCTATCAACATAGGTAAAAAAATTCACCTTTTAATTGTGACAATCAAATTAATGTTTTTAATAATTTTTTTATTATCAGTAATATAGCTTTAATCTCATGAGTTACTAAGGCAAAGTCATGGTGAATAATACGGAGTGTAAATTAATTTGAATCATCATAAAATCTTGACACTTCAATTTTTTAAATTGTCTAGATGAATATCTAATTAATTCCAAGTTAAGGCATAGATCAGTTTAGCCTAAAACAAGTTTTAAAACTAATTTTTAAGTTATTGAAAGTAGGTAAAAGAATTTGTCTTTTTTGTTTTCACTATGAAAAGACTGAGAGGATATAGACTTTTAAAATGTAGCAGCTTGCATGCTGACTGGCTATACATTAATATGCAGTGGAAGGGAATACCTTTAATTCCAAATGTTAGGAAAGAAAAGATTCAAAATAAAAGAAAAATTAATGCTGAAAATTAGAAGTAAACATTAAAAAAATAGCATGATGCTGTAGTTCTTTCCTTAGGCTTTGGTTCATATGACACTCATAAGCCTTTAAAGTGAAGATTATTTTTATGCCCATTTTACAAATTATGAAATAAAGGCTTGAGAAATAACTTGCAGAAAGTGTGTTAGGAGCTTGGTTTTCTTTTCTAAATTTATTCTCTCTACTACACACACACACACACACACACTGAGAGAGAGAGAGAGATTTTCATACTTTAGTAGCTTGCTTTGCAGGTCTGTCAGTTAATCAGCACGTAGCTGTTGGTACAGGCACTTGGCTCTTTATTGGGTCTACAGAGCATTATCTAATTTGAATCTCCTAAGATTCCAGTAGCAAGCCCATATGTGTTTTTATACTGAGTTTGTCGCACATAGTTATCCTTGTTACCCTCGCTGACTTTTTGGTTGTTTTAAATTCTGATTGATCTGCAACCAGACAATGTTAAGTAGGAAGGCCTAATCTCCTTTCTCTTGTTCTTCTAAAAGAGAGTATAAAATGCAGAATCCTGAAATATAACTTTCTAACTACTCTGTGCTTAGTCTCAGTCTTATGCCATTTTGGATACATTCTAAATACCATGTTTAGTTGTTATTACTAACACTTGAAATATGACTTCCATATTTTTTATTGTAGTATTCATCACACAATGTACCTCATTAAGCCACTGGAATAGATCTCTTTAAAATTTATTGATTTCTATTAGTTAATTTGAAGAATATTTTAGATATATAATTAACTAGAATTAAAAAAGATATTTAAAAATTTATTACAAAATCTTTTAGGAAATAATTTTTCCAGAGATTTTATTTGGAAAATAAGGCATTCATAAAAATATTCATGAACCATAATAACCTTCAGGTTTCAGTATCAACAATATCATACTCAATATTTCTATCTTAATTTTCTTCAGTGAATTCAGACATAATTAATTAAAATCTGTCTTTATGAGATTAGTTTTTAAAAATGCCATATTTTTGTTAATTATTTTTTATTTTTATAATAAAACAAATTGTAAAAATAATTACACCCACTTTACACCTATTTTACAGACCTTCTAAAGCTTCACAAAAATTGTGTGGGTAAACACTTTTCTTAAAAAAAAATATGCATAGTATCAGAAACTTGGGAAGTTAGTAATATTTTAGAGCAATAGCTGATAGATTTACTTTCCTGAGTACCATGGATTAAACTTGGTAAAATCTCAAACTAAGAAAAATAGCCCCTTCTTCTAATCAGAGAATTGAAAGGGACCTTAAATGCTATCATTTGGCCCTTAGGTTATAGGTAAAGAAATTGTGAGCCAAAGAGAATCAATGGCTGAAGTTCAGACATCTATATATAGGAACACTGGAATTAGACTTCAACTTTTCTATTCCTGTTCTAATTCTTATTTTCAGTGCTATTTCTCCCCTTTTGAATCAATACAAAAATGTGAAAAATGTATATCATATTACAGCAAAAATGTTATATCATCTTGTATCACTAGAATATAATGAAGTGAAAGGTCACCGAAGTCAAGAGACCTGAGATGGACCATTTCCAGTTTTCTTGGATAACTCAATTAACCTGTCTGAGCCTCATTTCTTTATCTGTTCCAACAGATACTATTTATAAAGATGGCAAGACACTGAAGTGCTATTTGAAGCATTAAAGACTAGATTTTTATGTTCAGTATACATTTCTGTTTAAGAAGTATTTTGTTTTGTACAATTTTGAAAATTGGTATTGTGTAACTTGCATTGGATTAATTAGCCCATCCCATTCCAGACCTAAGCAATTAATGGTCATTGATGTTCTTCCAATATTTTTCATGGCATAACCTCTTCTTTTGTAGGGTTCTACTTGAGAGAGAATACTCTGTAAATTCAGTGTTTAAAAATAAATAAATAAAACCTGTCTTGTAGTCAGATGTGTAAAAACCTTGATAATAGAGTGAGAATGGGAGGTTGTGCTTCTCACTTTGACTGGACACAAATAGTTTCTATGATGCATTTTCTGGTTTTGATAGTTGTGAAATTTAGACCAGTAGAGTGTGTGTGTGTGTGTGTGTGTGTGTGTGTGTGTGTGCATGTGTGCACATGTGTATAAAATATACATTTTAAGTCAACTTTGTACATTATATAACTTCTATGGAGCATGAGTCCTGAGGACATCAACATCAAAATGATTAGAATTGTGACCTAAAGTTCAGTGAAGTCAGTACAGGCTGACATTAAATATGAATGAAGTTCTCGCTCTGTATTTGATGGAGTTAAATATGTAAGTTATAAGATTGCTTTTACTGGTTTGCTTTAAATGAATTACCGGAGAACATAATCAAGTTATCTATTATTTTCCAAAATGATTTCAATAAACAGAATTTACTAACTTTGTTCTAATTATATGTAGCAGTATTAGAGACTTAAACAAATGAGGTTTCTTTTTCCAACATTATTGATGGTGCTGGAACGTCTGTTATTTATTAGTACTTTCAAGAAAGCACAGGAAAAATGACAGGAAACAACAGTGACTTTCAAACAAATGAGCTCCATTGGTAACCAGTTTCTCACTGAATGAAATAAGTAGGATATGCTCCTACAACCTCTTATTTTATTTTAGCCACACATCCATATACAAACTAGAAGCCACACAAATACTGTAGTATATTTCTTGGTTACATTTCTTTTTTGGTAGGGGTTAAATTTCTTTTGACAAAAAAATTACCTATAGGTAATGGGATTTTATCAAGAACAAAAATGTTAATTATAAGAAAAAATTAACTGAGGTAATGAGTAAACAACTAAAGGCTTTCTAGCAAATTCTAGATATAGCCATTAATTGAGTAAAGTAGATTTTAATTAGGTGTTCGGGATGGTGTCCTTTTTTAATTATTTATACTGTGCACACTTCATACCATTTTAACCCTTAAAATTTAAAATCTATTCTACTTCCCAAAATGCTGTTTTCAGAGCACCACAGAATAACTTATTTTGACAAAGGAAGCTGGTTGCTTGGGAACATCAATCAAACTGGCTATTTTCGAGTCAACTATGATTTAAGGAATTGGAGATTATTAATTGATCAATTAATCAGGAACCATGAGGTAAACTGGATTTTCTCATCAAAGATCTGTTTTGATATGTGAACCTGCCATCTTGATCCTAAGTGATTCCACCTTTTTCTGGTTGACCTCACAGGTTCTCTCTGTCAGTAATCGAGCCGGTTTGATCGACGATGCCTTCAGCCTGGCCAGGTATGTGTTCCTGTGGATCCCCACAATAATATTCATGCCCTTGAGACTTCCTTTAGTAGCTAAATAGTATGCACGTTTTGAATAATAAATATTTTAAAAACAATTTCTTACATTCTTGGTGTTTGGAGATGAATTATAATATTGTCCTAAACTCTTGATCAATAGCAGCCATAGGGTATTTCTGAGTCAGGAGGAGCTTGATCAATTTTCTCTGCAAGTTCAATTTAACATTCTGGAGATTAATAATCTTTTCCCAATTTTATTAATGAGCTCTACAAAATAACCATGGGGCCATATTTGATTTTTGATGGAAAATACCTTCAAGCTTCAGCATTTTTTTTTTTTGAAATATACTGGTCTATCTTTTTATAAGGTTTTTTTAAAACTTAATTCATTATGAAAAACTTCTGCTGCAAGATAGAAATAAATATTCCACAGAATAAAGCTGTTCTGCACAAAATATACATCAATCTTGTAGCAGAAGTAATTGTACTAGTTGTAGTAATATTTGTGTTATTTTCATAATTAGATTTATAGTGTTAAAATCAATTATTCCTTTAAATCGTCATTAACTGCCGTATCTTTCATTGAGTTTTAATTTTTAAATCAGTAAAATTTCTTGGAAATAATGTTGATCGTAAACCTGAGCTATTTACTCAATTTTAAGACTACTAAAATAAACTCATACATAAAATCTAAGGGCATTTTACCAGCAAAGGGATTTCTAATGAAATCGAACCAGGTGAATGTAGTTGTTTAATGAGAACTGGGGTAAATGAGGGCTGTTCCATGCCACAGCACCATTTGTTTGGGCAAAAATTTAGACGTTAATAGAGGTGAAGGAAGGTCTGCTGAGATAGTGATATTGGAGATCATGATTAAGATATAGCCTTTGCTCTATAGTAAGATATGAAGACTTTGAAGAAAGTATAAGTTATGGTGTGAGGATTATTTTGATGTAGAAGTTTAGCTCTTTCATTAAGCTGGAAAGAGAATGTATTTAATGTAATATTGCATGAGACAGAAGCAGGAAAAAGATAGAGTGAGAAAGAGAGAGGGTTTGGGATTTAAAAGAGAACCAGTATCACCAGCTAATAATTGTTAAGCATTCATAAGGTTCCAGACAGTGTACTGTTTCCATATAGTCCTTGTTTCGTTCTCACAACAACTTGATAAGTACATATGTATTATTTTTATTCTCATTTTATGAGTAAGAAAACTGAGCTTCAGAGAGGTCAAGTAATTGCCTAAAGAGTCACGCTAGTAACTGATGGGGCTAGGGCTTCCTCCATGTGGTCTGGCTGCAGAGCCCATATGCATATGATCCATATCCAAATCCATATTATATCATCTATATCTATCTATATCATCTCTATATCTATAACAACAATATATATCTATAATCTATATTTATATTTATCTATATTATCATCTATATCTATCTATATGTATCTATGTATCTATCTATCTCTATATGAGCAGTAATATTATTTATTTTAATAAAAGAGCCTGGCAGTATAGAAAGAATGAGAGGATTTGAAATAGTAGTTCATTTGAATCCTTATGGGTTTGAAATGAGGGTAAGAAAGCAAATAAGCGGCAATATCCTAAAGACAGAGGACAGATGGAGATAGAAAAGAAGGCATCTTTTGACTCATCTGCACTAAATGATAGAAGTTATTTTTAAGTGGAATATTTTATTTTATTTATGTGGATGAATTATTTTTTCAAAAATTAAATTCCTCTTGAGTAAGACAGATCATTGCTTCAATGTTAACTGTTGAAGCCTTAAATGTTTGAAGTAAACAATTTCATTATCTTTTATACAAATGAACCAAGAAAATAGCAAATCTCATTGAATATATATTAAAGTCTCTTTTACTGATCCTAAGATAATTTTCCTATTAGGATGCAAATAAAGAAATACAAAATTAGATATATTCAGGGAAGTGCCATTATTACTTGGTTTATAGTTATTCATATTTCACTGTATCCTAGTACATGTTTCATAGTTTTGTTACTAATCTGCATCAGCCTTTTTTCAGTTTCTAGAACACATCATGCTCTATTTGGCTTCTTAGATAAGTAGAAAATAGCAAATAGTTATTAAAACATATATCCCAGGTATTGTACTAAGGCTTTTATAAATGGCCTTGTTCAATTTTTTTTCGCAAGCCCATGGAGTGGGTGTGATTACTACGGCCATTGTACAGCTGATGCATGGAGGTTAAGAGGGGTTGTCACTTAACTCAGGTTGGACAGCTTTTAAATGAGGGGTGGAGGTTGGGCTTGAACTCCAGTGGCACAACCTATGACCTCAAGTCAGAGTGATTTTGCCCATTACATAAAATGTCTTCCCACCCTCATCTCACTTGTCTGTCAGGAATATTACTAGTCACTTTAAATTTCTTTTATTTCACTTGTATTCCCTTAACTGAAGCCTTTACCTGCCTCCCCAGTAAAAGGGGACATCCTCAAGACCTCGGTTATAGCAGTTGTCACCTTTTAGCTCAACCACTTACCTTTCTGTGTCCCTGATGATTCTTGGATGATCTTAAAGATAGGGCTTTGTCTCACTCTTGTATTACTACTGCCTAACTTAATATTTGGTACAGGATTTGGCCAATATATATTTGTTGCATGAATTGATGATTAATTATCAGCTATCCAAACTGTAAATGTTTATGCCACTATTTTTGTGCAATTAAGTAAACATATCCTAATAGATATTCTTTTAATGGTTGTTTTAAAAATGCAAATACCACATGAATGCATTCTAATTTTACAGCATTAAAACAAAAGAGAAATGCAATGTGAACTTTTTCTTTCCCTTCCCTACCCTGTCAATACTTTACCCTCCTCATAGGAAAAATAATTGTTTCATCTGTATTAATCCAGCAATTTTTTCTTTACATTTTCATAGTTTATTATTATTTTTTACATGAACAGAAGTGCATTCTGTTCTCTGACTCATTTATAAAAGTAAGTCTGGGGAGGTTTATTCCATTGTTTCTGATTTTTCATTATAATAACCAAGACTGCAGTGAGTATCCTTGAAGTCTTTTGTTGTGCATATATGTATTTTTATAGGATTGATTCCTGCAAGTAGAATATTTAGTTCAAAGAGTATAAAACTTTTAATAAATATTACAAATTGTATTCCAAAGACTTTCCCAATTTAACCCTCTATCAACTATGTCTGAGAGGGCTCAATTCCCTCAAACCCCCTGTGATCATGAAGAGTATATCTTTTACATTTTTGACAGTCTGGCAGCAAAAATAAATTTTTTGAAGTTGTTACAGTACTAATTAAATGAGCTTGTGCACCTTTTCTATATATACATTTTGTATATATACACTTTTTAAAAAATGTATCTTTATTGTTGAAAGTATTACAGATGTCCTCCTCCATTAACCCCTTCTACCCCACTCCAGGCCATCACCACACTATTGTCTCCGTCCATGGGTTGTACATATATGCATATACGTTCTTTGGTTATATACATTTACAATTTGAATTTTTTTCTTTTGTGGATTACCTGGTTAAAAATAAATAAATATAAAAACCTAATAGAAGATGGGTGAGGTATTTTTCCTGCTCTATTTTCCTGTATATTTTGGATTCTTTTGGATAGTAACCCTTTTTGTAGCATGCATTTTTTTACAGTATTTTCTCTAGATACTCTGTCCATTTTTTTTTTTTTTTTTTTTTTTTTTTTTTTTGGGGGGTTTTT